TGTGTTTGTGTGTGTGTTTGTGTGTGTGTTAGAGAGTGTGTGTGTGTGTGAGTGTGTGTGTGTGTGAGTGTGTGTGTGTGTGTGTGTGTGTGTGTGTGAGTGAGTGAGCGTGTGTTTGTGTGTGTTAGTGTGTGTGTGAGAGTGAGTGTCATGAGGACACACTGGTTTCTCTCATTCTTCACTCCATGTGACTGTGGGCCCCTGAGGCCTGGCGCCTGCTGATGATGTCATCAAACCAGCTGTGAACATCTAGAGTGCTGTTAGTGAGGATGACGTTCTTCATCATCATTTCTGCTGTGTGTCGCTGCAGCTCCTGTGTTTTACTGTATCTGTGATCACACACAGGAGCTGTTGATATGAGGCTGTTTCCAGATAAACAATCTGAACTCTGATGATTATGGATCATATCTGCAGTTTATTGAGCTGTAAACGGCTGCAGCCAGTTCTCTCAGTGTGTCACGCATTTCTTCTGTTCAGCAGTGATTTTTCCTCATACGGCTGTTTTATACAGGATTGTGTGTGTTTATTTGGTTATACTTTAGGCATGTTTTGGACGTTTTCAATTAGAAAAACAATAAATAAACAGGTTATGTGCCTGTGTATACATATGTACTGTATTAGTCTAATCGTTATGATTAAGTGCATATAAAAGCAGTGGAAGTCTGTGAGATGACCTCGTCTGGTGAAGGTGTGTCAGGTGAAGAGAGCGTTGCTCGTGGGTTCTTCAGTTGTTGGATGGGACACTGAATGAACAGACGGTGAAGCTGAGATGTTAGATGTCTTCTAACCCTTAATCTTGAAGTTCATTGAATTCCAGCAGATGAATGGAGAGAAAAGCAAAAGTCATTGTCATGATGTGGTAAAGCAGTATGTTTAACAGCGACAGATAAATAAGAGGAAAATGTCTCGTATGTCATGTATTTTAGAGAATTAGGAAAGTGTTCAGAGGATTTTTGTAATGAAATGGCTTAGTATTGAGCAGAAGCTTTACAGTCCGGATCTGTTCAGACAAGCCTGACAGGCAGACAGACAGTTAATCAGCAGAAAGACAGCGCAGAGATCCGCAGGGCACCAAACAACACGAGAGCAGCAGAATACAGTCAGACGCCGCTCTCTGCTCGGACGGTTCAAACGAGGCCTTTAACTGCATCCGTGTTTCCCTGTCATCGTTCCATCAACACGTTAATCTGTGCAAACCTGTTTAAAGTTGAGATGTCCAGCTAGTTAGTGGTGTGTCAGTTTCATGCTCCGAGTGTAAGTCAGTCACTGGTGGTTCGATGTCCTGAAGAGTGAAACTGAAGTTTTCAGAACATTGATGTGTTCATTTGAGACATGTCAACTTCTGACTCAACCAATCGCATGAGTTTGGGGCGGGACTATCTGTCTGACTGACCAATGGCGCAGATGGGATTTTTTAACTGGGCGGGACCAAGCTGTCAGTTCAGTCCAGAAAAATCACCAGCTCTGTCATAGACGATAGTATACGATCACTATGCCTACAGCTACAGGCTGATGCAGCTACCAGCTCCTCGTAGGACCCCGGGGTCAGGAGTCGTAGCACATACACGCACAGAGAACGGAAACGTCGGTGGCAGCACCATCGTCATGTGTGTTTATTGACAACAGAACAGCGTGTAGTGAGAACGTGGGTACAAAGTAATGGTGACCGGTAGATTATTATTGTGTGTCAGCCTGCGTCTGCCCCGACCCGATCCTGAAGCAGTGGCGGCAATAATTGAAGGTGCACTAAGTGATTTTTGCCAAACGATGTTGATATTTGAAAGCACCAAAACAAACACGCCCATACCCCAACAGGACCTCACCCCCAGAGCCGTTGAGAAACAGAGTTGCGACACTCCCATAGGCTTCCATAGAAACTGAGGAATGCGGAAGTAAAGCGTGTCATGGACATAGACTGTATAAAAACATGGACGTAGTGTCCGTGACGTCACCTGTAGGTTTCTGAAGAGCGTTTTTGAAGCTCAAAGTTTGCGGAGCCGGCCGTCGCCATCTTGGCAGCGTGTCACTCCCGGCAAAGAGGCGGGAGCAGGTTGCTGAAGCCACGCCCACCTAGCTCGACGCCGGTGACAGCAGCGGCAATCCACCTGTCACTCAAGTGGCCACGCCCTTAATTATGCAGAAACTTAAGGCTTAATATAATTTAAACGGATGAGTTATAAAAAAATTCACCCCCCTCACAGTTGTCATGAAGGGCAAAATTAGCTATATAGACTAAAACCACTGTTTGAACCAGGCTGTAAACATTTTTTTCTGCTGTAAAGTTGGGCATTTTAACATGGGGATTCTATGAGACTGACTCCCTTTTGCAGCCAGCCTCTAGCGGCCAGTTGATGAATTGCAGTTTTAGTCACTTTCGTGTTGGTTTCAAGAGAGAGAGCGGGAGGTTGCCGCTTGGTCATGGAGCAGCCAATAGTTCCAGTATTGAAGCTCATTCGTTTAGTGCTTCTCAAGCAGTTTTTGGCATTTTAACGCATTAAAATGCTGCGTGCTGCATGAAGCACTCTCGGAAATCTGGCCAGTAGTTGTATTTTATGAAACGCGTTATAGTTAATGTTTAGTTTTAGATAATAGGCAGTTATGCTATATTTGCAGTTGGATATCGTGAGAAACACCTTAATAGCGATCATAACCAGATGCTAGGTGTCATATTTTTATCAATCTTTCTCTCCCTGTAGGAAGTTGAATGAGTTTCAGTGAAGACTGCCTATTAAAGGAAAACAAGAAAGAGTTTCGGAATGTGGTTGGTTGCCTTGTTTTTTTTTGTTTTTTACGTTATTTAAATTTTTTATTAGGTTAAATTCCATATTTGCTGGCCTTTTTTAACGTTCACTTATATTGTCTTCTTACATAAATGTCATAAAATAATACTGGCATGTGAGTAATTAATCTTTTTAAATTCAACATTAAAAAAAGCAAAACTTATAAACATTGAGTGTTTGATAATGTCTAAATATACAATGCAAAACATAAAATAAATAAATAAGCTATTATGACCGGTAAAAGTCTTTACAGCAACTAGAGTAGAGCTAAATATATGTAGGCTATATTTATTAAACAGCCATATGGGCATATAGTGGTTAAACCATGGCATTACATAGGAATATTATTTTTCTGGCCACCAAACGCCTCTAAGTTGCCTCTTTGCACTGGAATTTAAAAACATTTTCTCCATTTTAACCCTAAATACTACACTAATTGTAATATAAATAATAAGCATATTAGAAAAAAATATTAATGCTGTCTCTTCATCTCTCCCCAGAATAAAATGCGATTGTAAAATATAGTCAGCGTGGTTATCGTAACCCTTCTTTTTAATGTTTTGTTACTCTGATATTTTCCTCTTTTTTTTTTTTATCTGCCATCTCTCTCTATCTATAGTCGATCTGCTAATATGCGTCCTGTGCACTCAAATTGAGCGCTCTCTTCTCTCCCTGCGTTCCATTCGGAAGGGCTCATCCCTATGCCCTAATCCCAGTTTTGAGCACTTCGGTTTGGAACGACCCTTCAATATGGCGGCCATGATTGTTTTCACTCCGAAGTGCCCTTCGGAGTACGATATATCCCGTTTGGAACGCACTGTCTATCAGTACAAGACACACCCCCTTACTGCTGATTGGCTACAAGTGTGTTTTGGGACTCGGTCAGACGATCAGACACTGCGGTCAAAACCGTTTTTCAAAAATCGCGCATGTGCACCTTAGTGCACGTTTAAGGAGCGGCGGGGCCGGGCCGCCACTACTTAGGCTAATGTACATAGCGAAAACCCTGATTAATCCTCTGTTTACCGATGTCGCCTTTCGTAGAGAGAGTGAGGGGGACAGATCGGGTCACTATGAATCTGGGGGGGTCATGACCCCCCCGTCCCTAGTGCCATCTGCGCGCCTGTGACTGACCAATGGCAGATGAGGGGTAGAGCAGAAGAATCAAAACATGACATAGGAAATACTGAACGTTTGATCCGAGATCTAGCTCGTGTGTGTTTGGTTGGGCATTTTATTGCAATTATTATTTAGGCTAATTATAGTGATTCTGTTTATTGCTGCTAGTGGTATTTTTACAAACTCCATATGAATAGTTAGACGTGTCACTAAATGCAGCATCTCATCTTGGAGGATGGAGAAACAGAAGACCGCTGAAGAGCCTCACATGAAATCCGTCTGTCTGTCTCAGTCCAAGAATAGAAAGCATCAGTTCTTTCATTGTCTTGAGCTGACACTTCTTATTTTTAAATTGTATTTATATCACAGTTGGCTTTAGATCCAAGTGTCTTGTTAGAGCTTTGGAAGGCCTGCTGGAAAATATTCTGCTGAAGCCTCCCTCTCTGTCTCCCTCTCTCTCTCTCTGTCTCTCTCTCTCTCTCTCTCCCTCTCTCTCTCTCTGTCTCTCTCTCTGTCTCTCT